ACCCAAGCTTGCAATCAGACAAGACGGGGAATGGAATTCCCTTCACTATATGCAACCTTGGCCAACTCACTGTCCCTCTCTGGGACTCATTTTTTCATCATAATATAGTGCTACTTCCCCTTGCCCCAGTTCCAAACGGGGCTAAATAATAATAGAACCTATTTTATCGGGGATGATAAATAAAATGACACATGTAAATGGCAGCTATTATTATAAGTATTAGTATTATCCCCTTTACAGGAGTGTGGGAGGCGGTTAAAATCGCTCTAAGATTGAGGGGGCCAGAAAGGGGATAGAACGAGGAAAGCAGAGACAGTGGGGAATTGGGTAAGAGTTGAAGGCAGGTACCTCAAGGCTGTGGTCCTCCTTTGGCCTCATCCCAGAAATCAGAAGCAGACAGATGTCTCAGGGCAGAGATCCTAGGCTGGGAACAGAGACAGAGAATCCCAGGGTGGGATTCCCAGGCAGCAGAAAGCAAGGCAATGGCAAAGCTGCCCCTGGCACCAAGAGGAGAAGCTGAACCAAGGTCCAATGGGCAAGAGGCAGGGCTCGGACAGGGAGCAGGGGAAAGGAGGGCCCAGTCAGAAGTGGAGTGGGAGTCAGAGCTGTGGGAAGCATAGGCAGTGGGGCCAGGCTCCGCCTGTAAAGACGGACGGCTTTCAGAACTGCCAGGTGGGGTGGGTCAGCTCAGAGGCTGTGTGCAGATCCATCTTTGACAGCTGCCCTCAGAGCTCAGGGCTGAGGTCTGGGTGATAAAGCAGACCTCCTTCTCAGCCCTTTCCTGGCAGCCAGTGGTCCAAGGGAAGTCTGGGAAGACCCAAGGCCAGGTTCAAGGTGGATCTTGGGCCAAGGAAGGGCCAGAGATCATAGCAAGGGTGTAAAAAGAAGTATAGGGTCTAGGCAACTGAGAGGAGCTAAGACAGGCTGAGAAATGGAGTGAGGAAGAAGCAGAGGGTGGGAGCACAGACACGGGAACAGAGGGAGAGAAAGGCATGAGAAGGGAGGAAGGCACTGAGGAGCCGGAGGGCATCTGGGCAAAAGAGCCCAGCAGCTTCCTAGTAAGAGGAGAAAGTGCTGAGCTTCAGGAGAAGGCATCTGACTCAAGAAGGGGGGTATGAGGGGATGTCTAAGGGATGTGGGGGAGGGAGGAGTGTGGCCGGGCCCAGGCGATGACTTCATAAGCATCTCCCCCCACTCCTTCCTGAGCCGCCAGCCCTAGTGACCCCCTGCCCGCATCTCAAGGGTCTAGGCCAAGCAGGCGCTGACAGGGGAGAAAGGGGCCCTCCTGGGCCAGGCCCCCTAGCCTGGCATAGTGCCTGCTGGGAAGGAGGGGCCTAGAGGCCCAGCCCTTGTCAGCATCCCGGCCGGCACTTCGGAGGCAATTAGCAGCCCAGCTGAGCTAATCCCCCGCCTGGCGAGGCCAACACAAACAGGCCCAGGCCGGGTGCACACTCGCCTGCCTGTTTGCTGAGGGGCCCGGTGGTCCGCCAAGAACAACACCAATAACCCGGGGCCTTCTCTGGGTTAAGAGGAGGACCGAGGCTTGCTGAAGAGCTGACCATGCCCGACAGGCATACTCTGGCCAGGCGCCCTGACTGCCCCAGAAAGGCAGCCACTGTTCCCAAGCCTTGGGCCAGCCAGGAAGAGGAAGCTGGACACAAGGAGCCATATACTCTAACTCAGTACCCACCCCTACCCCCACCCATGCCACCTGTGAGGGAGAAGGGCCAACTCAGGCTTGTGTTGCCTTGACCAGCCCAATAACTGAGGCCAGAAGGGCCTGAGCCCTCTGGTCAGAACCCAAGGATTACAGGCTTCATGCTGGACCTGGGAGCCCAGAGGCAATTCAGACCTGGACCCTGCCCTCAAGGGGTTCACGGTCCAGCAAGGGAACAGACCACGTACAACCGTGGAGCAGGGCCAGACTCTACTCCCATCAGCAACTACCTGTCCCCCTAGGATGGTGGAACCCCCACAACCGAGAAGGCAAAAGGGGCCCAGCAGAAGAAACAGAGGCCCATAGATAGATAAATGGAGATATGGCACCAAGAGGGCAGGAGGGGATCAGAACAAACTTTGGCACAGACCAGTAACTCCTTTGCACAACCCAGCAACCACCGGGAGAGCAGACAAGGCCCTACTCCTGCACCCCGACTTCTTCATTCCAGCCCAATTCCACCTTCCTCAGCCCTTGACCAGGGAGCATCCTCTCTCTGAGATAAACCCTCTATCTGCAACATGGTTCCTCACCTACGTAGGTGCCTGGACTTTGCTGCAACATCAGAAACTACAGCCTCCTTGGAGCTTCTACTGGGGAAAGCGATACGGCCTCCCTGAATGGGCCAGGCCCCTCGGGAAACGGCGCTGATCATTGATATGCAGCACCACTACCACTTACTGAGCACCTATCAACAGAGGGCCAGGCCCACACCAAATACCACCACCCGCATTATCCCACTTCAGATTCACAAGCAAATGATGGGACATGAATATATCCTGTTGGATAAACCCACTGAGAGGCAGGTGTATGGCTTATCCCCACTTTACAGATAAGGAGACCAAGGCTCGCGGCAGAGACTTGCCTATGGTGGCAGGTGTATGTGTCACTAGGCCCCTCCTTCAGTCCCACCACCTCTCCATTTTCCCTCGCCCCATGCTGGCCTAGACCTGATGCTTCCTGGGCCAACAGGCCTCGGTGCCTTGAGCCCACCCTTTCCCCACAAAACAGCATTATCTGTCTCTGGCTGAGCTAAGCTCCACTCTGTTGCTCTGCTGGGGACCTATGCATTGTAGACAGCTTTCTGTAGGGGAGAGGGTGAGAAAGGCTGGAATCACACTGCTAGGGCTGACAACGCCACAGCTGCAAACAGCAGCCCTGCCCACCACCCCCTGCTGGCTGGAGACTTCAGGTCCACTTCCAAGCCCGCCAGATAGGCTGTCAGGTCCCTGCCCACAGCAGGAAGGAGCTGACAATCCAGTCTGAACTCTCTTTGGGCTGTTCCCACACCTGGCCCTAGAATATCTAGCCTGAACCAAGGTATAGATGAGTAGATGAGTCCTATTCCCCTTTAGTTCAGCCAAAAGGGAGGTATTTTTCAAAAAAGTCTTTTACTAGGAAACTAAAGAAAAACAAACAGACCCTAAGTACACAGAAACAAGCAGATTCCTAAGCAGGACTTTAACCAGTGCCTAACCAGAACCCTGCAGATACTGCGTCTCCCTACCTCCTTCTGGACAGGGGCTCATTCTAGCTCCACTGCCGACAGCCTGTGAAATCTGACGCAAGTCAGTCAACTCTAAACCTCAGTTGTTAGAGAGATGCTGATAATGGTAGAGCCAGGACCAGATCCAGTCCTAATTTGAAAGCCTCCCACCCATGCCATTATGGCTGTTGGAGGACCGAGTGAAACCCTGAACCGGGAAGTGCTTCGTGGAGGAGTTAAGGGATGTTGATGGTTGTTCTCAGCCAGCACTCTGGCTCTTTCTTTAAGTGTGAGGGAAAGCGTGTGTGGGAGGAGTGGAGATGATACTGTAGGTTCCTGGTCCCATCAGGTTGAGATGACACTAGAATGTGCTGGGTCTCTCTTCTCCACCCCTTCTTCTCCCTCCCCAGCACCTCCTGCAGCCTGGCTTCCTCCTCATCCCCTGCTTGGACAGCGGCTGGAGCCACCTGGGAAGCTTCAGGAATGGCTGATGGTTATCACAGCCAGGACAGGGCGAGTTGCTGCCCCTCCGATTCATCACAGAACTGGAGTGGATCCAGAGAACTGACCAAGAGGATGCAGGGCTGCTGCTATGAGTTCAGACTGTTTCAGTCGGGAAAGAGGCTGAAAGAGGGCAGTTCAATCCTTCAAATCAGAAAGGGATGAGGAGAGGGGACTTTAGACTCATTCCTCAAAAGAACAGACACGGTGTGGTGGAAGAAGTCTGAGGGCTGAAATCGCACAGATCTGGGACTGAACCTCTTCTAGGCCTCTCACTAGCTGGGTGACCTCAGATGAGTTAACTCCTATGAGACTCAGCTTCCCCATCTGTACCATCTCAAAGGCTACTATGGGAACTGAACCATATGGAGATAGGTGTCCAGTAATCCCCTGCCCCATTCCATTCACTTCTGGCCTAGGACATGCACTCTCCCCTTTTCACCTGGCCAGTTACCATTGCCATATGTTTGGTGATGGCACCGCATACACTCGACCCCAACCGTCTCCTCTCAGCACCTAGGGTACTTTCAAAATGGCATGATTCCTGGTTGCCAGGCTGCCCAGATGCCCCTTTAACCACAGCAAGCTTCAGTTTGACAGGAAGGCCCCAGCATGGTGAGGGGAAAGGCAGGTTACACCCCTCCAACTTGCCCTCAAGGGTCAGAGCTCTGTCCAGCTCACCCAGCAGAGGCATCAGCTCATTAGCAAAAATGAGGTTCTCAACCTTTAACCTATGACCCCTGCCTCTGAGAGACAAAAGCCCTTGCTCTGTTAGTTCTGACATTTCAAAATAAATCTTGTGGCATTTCAAATTACATACACCATTTGTCAACTGGCTATTCTAATGCTCCCCCCGCCCCAAGAGAAGCCTAGTAGTTAAACACTCTGCAGTCAAATAACCCCAGCTCCACAGTCCTAGCTGTGCACCTTGGGTAAGTCATTGAACCTGTTTCCTCTGTTATAAAGAGAACGAATGCGAAGATAGAGAACGTGAAGCACTTAGCACACTGCCTGTCACACAGCTGCTGCTCAGCCATCAGCTATTACTCCTGCTGTTAACATTGGAGAATGTGCCTGCCGCCACCCCTCCTCTGATCCTGAGACTCGCTGAGCCAGATGTTTCAGTGTGGGCTCCCAAGACTTCAGCTGGGCAGAGGACACTTTAGAGAAAAATGGGTGGGTGCCCTTTTACAGACCTTGTGCCATACACACTATTGTTTACACATTCCACCCTCCCCCTTGAACTGCAAGCTCTTTGGGGGTGCGATCTGGATCTACTATTTTATGAGGGGAGGGGAGTCAGGAAGCAGTGAATAAATGTCAAATGAACTGAGGCATGTGCTCTAGAAAGAAAGGCAGTGCAGTCATCTGCTGGCACTAGAGGCCAGGTGGACGGCCAGCCTGACGAGGGCAGCACAGGATGGGCTCACGTCCCTGGAAGCTCTAAAATGCTACAACACCAGGCTCGAATAGATTAAACCACCTCCACCCACTACTGTCCCTGGATTGCAGGACCCCATTCCCCCTTCAAGGCCCCAGAGAAAAGCCTCAGACTGGGTCTGCAACCCCTGGTCCCTGTGCAAGGCCCCCTGGAGGGCCAGCCCACACGGCTTTGTTATAAATGATGCCCTGGACAGCCATCTGACCCACTGTCTCCTGGTCTCATCCTCGAGTTCCTGGAGCCTCAGCCAAAGACAACAGTGTGGACTCATTTCTTCAGGGCCCAGAGTGGAAGGCTCCCCAGCACCTGGGAGCAGCTGGAAGTTGGAACTCAAGGACTCATCGCTGCTGGTCTCCCCATCCTGTGCCAAGTGCATCTGTAAACAAGCCTTCTCAGTGGTTCCCTGCAGCTACTCCCAAGGGTCAAAGGGAGAGAAACAGACTAGAATCCGGGCAGCCCACGGCTTGGAGAACTGAGCCAGGCAAAGCCTGGTCTGAAAGATGGTCCCTGGGTGTGGCCAGGTCTGCGCTGCTGGCCCTGTGCCCAGAGCCTTGGATGGGTTTGCCATTGCCCAGGATTGCTGCTCTATGCCAGCTGCTGAGACCCCAAGAGGCATGGGGCCTGTGTCACACTGCTGTAGGTCCCACTGTTTTACAAGTTGGCAGAGAGAAAGAGCTTGCTGGGGTGGAGATGCCTGGATGCTGGGCTGTTGTGCGTGATTCTGTTTGCTATAAAACAGCCAGACATTCCTAGGACCTGGAATCCCGCCGAGGCCATGGAGCTAGCCTTCCCGGCCATATATCTCCAGGCGGGGGACAGGCCTGAGACATCTGAGATAATAAAGACATGATTGTCTCAGCCCTGGGGCTTGTCTCCCCTTTGTCCCAGGGCCCAGCAGCCAGCAAGAAGTTTAAAGACGTCCTCCCCCTTCTCCTGGGAAAGTACAAATGCATCAGATTCTATAGCCCCTGGGGTGAGCTTCCCAAGAACCAGGCCTGGGATTCCTGCTCTGGCTCACCAGAGCAGAAGGCCATCAGGGGTCCATCCCAGGCAGCACACAGGAGAGACTGCGAGCAACCAGATGTGGAACACTCACTCGGGGCACATGTCCTCCCCGCTGGGCACGCATCTCTAATTCTCACCAACCCTCTAGCATGGGAACTCTAATTTTAGGAATTAAGAAACTGGAGCTGAGAGAGGTAAACGAACTTGTCCAAAGTCACAGATACTCGATGGCAGGGATGGTCTGAAACCTAGATGTTTTACTCCAAAGCCTGCAACTTCCACAGTAACTCTAACTCACTCCATCCCCTCCCTTAAAAAAATGTATTTTTATTGATTTCAGAGAGGGGGGAAGGGGGAGGGGGAGAGAGAGAGAGAAACATCAACGATGAGAGAGAATCAGTGATTGGCTGCCTCCTGCACGCCCCACACTAGGGACCAAGCCTGCAACCCAATCATGTGCACCCACAAGGAATCAAACCGTGACCTCTTGGTTCATAAGTGGACGCTCAACCACTGAACCATGCCAGCCGGGCCCCAACACCCATTTTTTATAAAAACTCTCAGCAAAGTGGGAATAGAGGGAGCATATCTCAACATTATAAAGGCCATACATGGCAAACCTACAGCGAACATCATACTCACTGGGCAAAAACTAAAATCATTTCCCTTAAGAACAGGATTAAGACAGGGATGTCTGCTTTCACCACTCTTATTCAATACTAGAGACCCGATGCATGAAATTTGGGAGGGGGGGGCGGGGAGTTCCTTCAGCATGGCCTGCACCCTCTTGCAATCTGGGACCCCTCGGG